TTTTATCTTTTTCACTGATGTCTTAATTTTCTTGTTAAATTTTATAGCTGCCCAATAAAACAACACACTGTGGCAAAAAGAACATGGGGGTTGAAGAAAAACAGACTTGGGATTCCAGCTTTGCCGTCCAACTTTGTGGTAATGTTGGGTCAGGTCATGAGCTTTCTGAATTGCTCTGATAAAAAGGAATAACCAGAAAGAGGCTGATGGTAGAACACTATGAGTTGGTCTGTGTAGTCTTTAGCACAGGAGCCTGGCTCTGCAGTGCTCAGGGGACATCAGTTCTCCCACCGTGTTATCTACACACAGTACCGGTCCAGAGTTTGCAGCAAAGAGATGTTCTCTCTCATCTCTTACATGCCAATTTTCCATATAACTCGAGTAAGAATGTATTTTTACCAAACCCCCCAAAAAAGATGTTATAATTTTGCCTTATGTCCTAGCTGGGTTTTTCAGTGTTCTACTGGACACCATAACCGGAAGCAACTTGAGGCAGGAGGGTTTGTATCATCTCTCAGCTCACAGTCCACCATGTAGGAAGTCAGCGCAGGAGCTCCAGGTAGGAACCTTGAGGTGGGAACTGAACCAGAGGCCATGGAGGAGTGTGCTGGCTTGTTCTCTGTGGCTTGCTCAGCTTACTTTCTTCCCTTCCCTCCACCTTTTTTTGAGACAGGATTTTTCTGTTTAGCCTTGGCTGTCCTGAAATTCATTCTGTAAACAAGGCTAGCTTTGAATTCACAGAGATCCCTCTGTCTCTGCCTCCTGAGTGCTGGGATTAGAGGCATGTACCCAGGGATGGCACTGCTCACAGTAGGCTGGGTGATGATCCCGTATCAATCATTAAGGAAGAAAATTCCTCCACAGACCAGCTATAACCTGATAGAATACATTTTCTTAGTTGAGGTTCTTTCTTACCCAATGACTCCAGCTTGCATTATGCTGACAAAAAACTAACCAGCATATCTGATCCTGAGAGTTGACTTCTATCATGTAATCCTAGAGATATGTTTATGTCCCAATTCCTGAAATCTATGATGATTGCTTTATATGACACACACACGCACACACACACACACACATACACTTGCCTTAGATGTGACAAACTGAGGTTAAGTCATAAATTGTAAGACATTTTAAGGCATTTTTAAGGCATTTAAGATTTTCCTACATTTTCTGAAGCAGAAGGAGTTTGCGACTTGTACATGTACTGCACACACAGAGCAGATGCATACACATAACCTGGTAGACAAAGATGGGGGCAGAAATGGATGTTGTGAGGTCATAACAGCCTGAAACTGGAAGAAGCAAGGAAAGAGTCTTCTCTGAAAGTTCTAGAAGGAGTGCACTCCTGCTGACATCTTGATTTCAGACTTTCATCTTCTAGAACTGAGAGAGTGATTTCTGTTGTTTTAAGCATCCCCTGGTGGTGGTTCTTTATACAGTGGCTCACGGATAGTAGCCAACGGTACTAACCCAAGCAGAAGACAAGACCTTTCTCTCATCCTTGAAGCAATGCTTCTGCAGGAGACACAGGCTGTGAGGAGTCTGCAGTCCCAAGATGGCTGCACAGGCTTCAGTCAACCTCATCAGCTCCATTTCCCAACAGCACTCCAGTAGACCTGACCCTCCTTACTCTGACATACACAGGGAATGACTGGGACAAAGTAGGCTGTGGAAACTAGCCCTGTCTCTGGTTTTCTCTCAGAGCAAAGCTTTTCTTTGCACAAGTTGTGCCAGAGCTGAAAATGTAGATAATGTAACATCTCCTCAGTTACGAAGCATGTTGACTTGAGCAGGAACCTCTGTGTTCTGTAGTAAATTTTACTACAGTGCTTTCTTTCGTGTGGGCTTTGAGAGGGAAGACAGCCAGGAGGAGCACGTGGGATCAGAGCTGTTGCTATGGTGAGCAGAAAGCACAAGACACAGGAATGGGGAGCCTTGCAGACTCAGGTTTTCTCCTTTTGGAGTTTACAAAGCAAGCTAGAGTCTGGGCCAGTCAGATAACCTGATCTTAAGCCCACGGAGACCTTGTGGATATGCAAAACCATGCACAGCACATGGGATCACTGGAGTCTTACCTCCCAGCCATGTGTATGCAATTCTACCTTAACTGCATGTGGCCTTGGGGTGTTGGGAGGTGCTAGGATATACAGACTGTGGATGTTACACTGAGAGGGGGACTCTGCCTATACAGTATTAGAAAAGTTATCATCTCTATTGGGGTGAGATTTTTTGGAGGTATGGCAGCTTGGGGGTCACTCATGATCCTGTGAGCAACTCCTCATCTCTGCTCAGTAAGCAAGCCCAGTAAAGTCATTGGTCCCCCCAGTCCTTGGTGATCTATAAGGAGGAGGTAACATTTGTCTACTTATCTCTAGAGAAAGTTTCCAAAACATATTTAAGCTGCTTCCAGAAGCTCTGTCTTGTCCATATATGCATGCAAATCTGGTGATGTTGGCTTCAATTCATAGTAGAACCCTTCCCTCAAGTTCCATACTCAGCCCATACTCCTCTCTCTCTCTCTCTCTCTCTCTCTCTCTCTCTCTCTCTCTCTCTC